GGAAGAATGTCGATGCAAATAAAAGAAAAAGAATTCTCTAAAAGCATAGATTTTACCTAATCTAAACCTTGGGCAGGAAACAAAGGCTCAGAGAAGGGGCGAAGGGATGTGACCCAGTGAAAGCCAAATGGTACCCCACCTCCCATTTCAGGGCTCTTTGTAAATCTCCAGTCCTGTTGAAGGCAGGGCGAGGGGACACTGGTCCCCCAGGGGCCAGGAGAGAGAGGGTCTTTGGAGGACAAGGCGTCCTGGACACCAGCCCCACGTCAGGAGTAGGACTAGATGACAAGAAGGGGACGGCAGGGATGTCGAGAGCATCTTAGGGAATCAAGGAGCCCACAAGTCACTGTGGATGCACCTCCTTCCCCCAGGAATCACCCACGAGGGTGGAAATGTGGGCGAGGCACCCTAGGCTCTGTTCCCTCATCCAGGGAGGACTTCCTCATGGCCCAAGCCCATGGAGAATCCCTCAGAGAGGCAAAGGCTTTGTCATAGTTCAGATAGCCGCAGAGAGGCCCCAGGGGCCCCATGCCAAGCTTCTCCAGGGGGACAATGAAGATGGCAGCGGATGGGGACAAGATTCGAACCCAGACATCTGGGCTGCAGAACCTGGGTTTTACTCCATACTGCACAGCCAGGAAGAAGGTCCTCGGCAAGAGCTGAAAGGAAAATCCCAGAGCTCTTCTGGGCTCGAGGTGCTTGCAAACACTCACATCGATGGGGTTCCACCCAAGGGACCCGCCCAGACAGGAGACAGGAGCAGCTGCTGGGTCCAAACAGTGTGGAGAGGGAAAAAGTCGGTGGGCTTGGAGTGGGGCGCAGATCCAGCGTCGTCCCAGCAACCCCGCACAACAGCCTCATAAACAGGACGGGCCCAGGAGGAGGCACGCAGGGAGGGGCCCCTCCTACCCTGAGGATGAGGGGTGCCTGGCAGAACCTGACAAGTTTGAGGAGCCAGAAACCAGTGTGACGCTGGGAGCGGGGAAGCCTGAGCACAAACGGGCACAGGGCCACCAGGCTTGGGGCGATTCCATGGGAGGGGATCCTGGCCAGGGTCCAGGCTGCAGTCACGGATCCCCGCGGCCGGGAGGGGCCCAGCCCCTTCCCAGATGCCAGGAGCCACGTCCTCGGGTTGTCCAGGATCTGTTTGCAACCTCCGGTGACAGGGAGCTCATTCCCCATCGCGTGTACGCACAAATCTGTTCACTATCGAGCTGAATCGGCCCCTACACATTCATTCAGGCTTTGGACCACACTGAATAAACGTTGAAAAATGCCCAGGTTCTGTTTATAACGTTTTCATTTTTGTTGACAATATAAGTTCCATCAGAATTATCTGAGGATTTTTTATTGCCATGATCCTAGTTCCTAGCGTAGTACTTGGCCCAGAGTATATCATTAATGAGCACTTATAAAATGATAGACTGAGTGAATGAGTGTAGGATGAACACGGAAAGCACATTCCTGCTTTGGTGTTTAAGCTGAAGGTCCTCAACTGCAAGAGTCAGCCAAAGCCAAAGGCAGTCAGGATTGGGGGCGGATCTCGGTGTAGTCTTACCCAAGATAAGGAGCAGGAAGAAGCAAGGAGGGGTGAGTGCATGGTCCAGGAGAAAGCCTGGGAGAGAACTGGGGGGGACTGTGGTCTCACTGCTCTGCCCAATGGGGCCATCGGAAAGGTGACCTGAAAGCTTCACAGAGCCAGGTTCTAACTCCTGCAGGGCGAGAGGCCCTCTCTGAATCAAGTCAGGAATAATTATAGCCCTTGCAAGAATGCAGCAACCTGGAGGCTCCTCACAGCCTCCGTGCCAGGACAGACATAAACCCAGCCTGCAGGGGGGCCCTTAAGGCTGGGAAGTAGCGGAGCCAGAGCAAGACCATGGCTCTTCTCATTCCACAACCACAGGCCCCCTTCCTGGTTCCTGTGAGAGGTCACAGCAGCCTGGCCCTCTGAAGGAGGTCACCTGGGGCTGCCCAGTAGGTAGGTTAAGGCCCAAATGGAATGGAGGAGTTTAAATTACTCCTGGGAATGTGGGAGACCATTGAGGGACTTCAGAAAAACAGCAAAGAGCAGTGGACAAAAGCAATGGCTGAGGTTTGATCAGCTCCTCACTTCCTCAATGTGTGACCGCAAACCAACCTCTCTGAGCCCCTGTATACATTGTGAAACAGCAGTAGCTGCCCATGGGGTTGTTGTGGGCATGATGAGGTATAAGGCATGGTTTCTGGGGCTCAGTAAGTAAATATTGGTTATTTCTCAGATCTTAAGAAGAAACATCTTTCCAGCAGCTCCTCACATAGCCAGGCCCGCCACAGGGAACCTCAGCTCTAGCCTTCCGCAGACCTCCCTCCCCCATGGAATGTGGGCTCCAGGCAGTGGAGGTATTGGGAGTGCAGCTGCTCGGTGTTCTATCCAAGACCCTCAAGTCAGCATTGGCGGGACTGGGTGAACCAAATGTTCTGTCCATGTGTCCACAACTGCTCACACATTCGCCTCTCAGACACACATTTCCTGCCTCCCTGCAAATTTCTCAATGTGAAGGGAGGAATTGATAACTTACTGAATTTTTACATTGCTCATATTCAGAACTGGTTGTGGGAACCCCAAATCTCATGACTTGTTATCAAAATTTATCCATCCATTCATCTATCCATCCATCCATCCTTCCTTCCTTCCATATGTCCATCCATTCATTCGTCCATCCATCTATCCATCCGCTCATCCACCAATCCTCCCCTATTTCACCATCCACCCACCCCACTGTCAGGCAACCAATGATGTGCATCCAAAGATGAACAAGATAGACCAAACTCTACCTTTATGGAGTTCACAATCCAGCAGATACCAATAAAAAAAAAATCATGCATTTCACATCTCTCTAACCCATTCCCGCTTCTGAAGGCAGAGAGGGCTCTGGAGAACCTAAATCCTGGACCCCCAGATGCTAGAAGCAGTGACCCCCACTAAACTGGGGAAAAAACACCTTCTCCGTCATCACTGCTGGAGATGTAAAGTGCTACAGTCTTTTAGAAAAGCAATCGTGCTACATCCCTGAAAATGTAAACTCTACCTCTGGGCCCGGCAAATCCCCCTCCTGGGAATTTCTCCCACAGAAACAAACGCCTAGCACTTAAGACCGTGGACTCAAGAATGTTTTCCTGCAGCATTATTTCTAGTGGCAAAAAGATGAAAAAGACAAAATCAGACTAATGCCCGCAGTCACAAAATGCACAGGGCTGCTTCCATGCCACAGCATATTACACAGTCCAGGAGAGAGGAGAAGAACTGTACCAACCAGCTCAAGAGCTTCCCAGGGAGCATTTGAGGGAAAAGCAAGGTGGAGAAAAGTGTTTGCAATATGAACCAGGTGCTATAAAAGGAGTATCAATCATATGGATTTGTGCATGTCTGATTATGACATGCACATGTGGCAATTAGAAGAGAATTAAGATTAGGTTGCTAACTTGGGTGACCTGGTTGGGAGGGTGGTCTGAGGTGAGGGGGAGGGGTGGAGGAAGTCAAGGAAAAAGAAATAAAGGAAATAAAACTGTCAGCACTAAAGAAACACGTCGGTGACATGACGTTGATGCAGGTATAATGAAATTACCTACATGGGTAGTGTATAAAGGAACTGAACCAAAAGACCTTCGCACATACCCTTCCTTCTGCATGGGCTACCCTTTCCTGCAGCTATATGACATCATGGCCTCTTTTTGAAGATCCCTGAGAGAGAGAGAGATCTCAAGCTTCAAGACAAGGCACGAGCTGACACTAGTAAGTGCCTACTGTTTACCCAAGCAAGGGATGGGCTTCACGAGTTGACTCACAAGCCCTGGGCATTGCTCTTAGCACCGCCACCCAAGGCTGGCTCCCCTTCTAGTCTCTCAGCTGCGTTTGGTTCACTCCAGTTTACAGAAGAGGAAACTGAGGTTCAGCGTGGCAGGATACTGTACCCCACAATCACATAGCTACTGAGATAGGATTTGAATCCAAGACTCTGACCCTTAAATCTGACCTGCTTCCTCTCTATCCCTGCTTCTTGAAAAGGGCGGTAAGACATGACTTTGGTTTGGGCAGAGCAGTTTAATGGTTGCCTCTCCTATCTTAACTGTTTCTCTGCTTAAACATACTTTCTGGAGTAGAGGCCCAAGAGTTGAAGCAGCCACCTTTGGCCCAGCTGGAGGGTGCCCTCCATCCAGCCCCAGCCGGTGGCCTTTACCACCACTCACCTGATATTTACTTGCCTCAGCAAACACCCTCTTCCCAGTATCCTCCTGACCTCCCTGCTTCCCAAAGCGAAAAAAGAACAAACATGGCCTTTGGGGCAGGTACAAAAATCACCCAGTTTTGACAGGAGCACTACTGTGCCTGTGTCACCTCTGGGTGTGAGGCAGGGGCCAGGCCCTGCCAAGTTTTAATTCTGTTGTTAGACTCTGCCTGCCTGTTTATACTAGAAGGTTCCCAAGAGCTTAGAGATAGAGGTGGCCTCAACAAGGCCTTGTCACTCGAACCTTGGTAAAATGCACAGGCCCAGGGACTGTAGGCCTTTGCAGGGCATCATTGTCCACTGAGATCACCAAGTGGGTGAGTCCTAATCCAGAGAGGATAAGGGCCTTGCCTATGGTCACACAACAAATTAGTCAAAGGAACCAGCAGTAACACCTGAGAGGGTCATGTCAGCAACTAAAGCCGTCATCATTGTCACCATCACTATCACCATCATCACATCACATCATCATCCCTTCACAGCCAGAGCCCATCCTGGAGGCCCCTGGAGGATGCGAGGTACTTTATAATTTTGTCCTCTCTCCATTTCTGCCCCTCCAAAATCCCCTTTCTACTACTCGTCTGTTTTCCTCATTGATTCATTTATTTCAACCTCAGTCTCATTTGAAGCAATAGCATGCATGAAACCACTGGTCGGAGGCACCCATTAGATTTGTGTCTGATATGGACCAAAATAACACATATATGAAAAACAGAAACTTTGCTCATCTCCTACCTCACTCACTGCAGAAATGCAAACAATCCTTTGGCAAATGCTGTGTCCTTTTGCTTCATCTTGACCATGCCCCTTCATGGTTGGCATTTCATGGGTGAGGTAATCTGGGGCTTGGAGATAAACAGGGCCTTAGAGCAGCTCGGTCAACCAGCCTGAGAGAGTCACATCTGGGGTTCAAATAAAAGCTTGTGTGAAGCACAGCTGAAAATCCTCCCTCATTGTTTCTAGAAGTCACCTATGCCAGGAACCTTTCGCCCTACTCAGCAAGCAGGTGATTGCAGGTGAAAGGGCACCCAATCAGCAGTGCTCCCCGTTCTACAGATGCAGAAACCAGGCCCTGGTGGGCGTATCACCCCATTCAGGCAGGCCCCGGCCTCTTCATCCCCTGCCGAGCAGTCCTGCAGAGGCCTTCCCCAGACCATCTCACCACACCCTAAGCCTACTTTTTACTTCCTGTGATATCTGTCTTGCTTCTTCAAATATTTGTCTTATTCTGTAATATGACAGGGGGATAGTGAGCTCAAGGAGGAAGCTGAAAAGAATGGTTGACTCTTTCTACCAAGCCAAAGTGTATAGTCTTCTCAGATGGACTAAGCAGGAGACAGACTGGGGTGGCCGAGGAGGCAAACTCCTTCTGGAACAGCCAGGACACCCTCATGGAGAGATAGTCCCAGCCTGGGTGCAAGCCGTCCCCTCCACTGAGAAGCTCCTCAGCCCAAACTCACCCATGGCCACTCAACCCAAATACTTCCTCCTGTGCAAGCTTCCCAGATCACCCCCTCTGGATGGGCCTCCCTGCTTTTCTTTTATCCCAGTCCTTTCTCTTTAAGATTTTACTTTCTAACCACCCAGCATGATGTGGAATCGTGAATGCATTGATGGGTCGATTTGATTAATGTCTCCCCTGAACCAGGAGCTCCAGGAGGGCAAGGGCCCTATCTTCCCAGTTCCCTGCTGTTTCCAGCTCCAGGCACAAAGCTGGTGCTGAATAAATATTTGTGGAATCAATGAATGAATGAGTGCTTACCTTGAGGACTAGGCCCTGCAAGTCTTACCGTACTCTTAGCACCCAGTACAGTGTACAGAGGAATTTCACAAAGGTCTATAAGGACAGGAGAAAGGAGGGAGGCAGGCAGGGAAGGGGCACAGAGGGAGGAAAGAAGGCTAGAGGAGAGACTATGAGCTCTCACATTTTAAAATAGGGAAGTCTGAGCCCACGGTGGGAACAAGATTTACCCAAGGTCACACAGCAAGATAGCCGCCAAGTCACCAAGTATCACGTTCTCCCCAAGAGGCTCCATTCCTCACCTACTCCCCATCTCTTGCTGGAGGTGGGAGGCTCCATGGCAGGGAACTAGCAGAAGCAGTTCTCAAGCAAGCTCTGGCCTCCCAAGCTCCTCGCAGTCCCAGGCAGACAGCAATCGAGGAAGCTAGCCCTCTTGTCACAGACAATTGAATTCCAACCAATTTATCTGTCAGGACAGCACTCACAGACCCGAATCCTGGAGCTTACAACTCTGTAGTCAAAATAAACCCCGAGCCTCCCCCATATGAATTATAGGCCAATGTCACAGTGGAGGGCGGGAGGCTCCCGCTGACCTACTTCCCTCTTGCTGCAGGTCAGGGGAGGATGCAGCCAGGGCCAAAGGGGTTTAACCCACTGCAGATAGGTTTCTGTCCATCAGCTGCAGGAAGGGTGGGCACTGGGGTGACGTCAGGTTTGTCCCCGCTCACAAGCAACCCAGACAAATGTGCCTCCAGAGTTCAGTCCCACACACACCCATGACCTGGACTTCACTGTGCCTAGACAAATGCAAGGAGCTGAAAGTCAGGGGCTGTCAGGAAATCAAGCTGTCCAGGGATTCTTGGGCCACCTGGCCAGGGAGGGGGCTGCAGCCTCTGTCTTGGGGTTGGTGGCATTGAAGGGCTTGTACTGGGCCAATTCATGGGTGGGTGACAAGGGAAGGTAACCATTGCTTGCTGCACTTGCCAGTTTACTTGATTCATCACTGGTACAACTTGTCACTCACTCATTTATTCATTCAGTCATTCGTCTATGCATCCCCCATGGGATGTAGCTAAGACTCGAGCACTGTAGTCCAGCAAGTATCAGACTCAGCTCCTCTGTCAGTGACCCGGCTGGCCTCCCACCTCACCTCTTCTTGCCTCGCTTGCTTCTCCATAAGATAGGATGATCGGAGTTCCTACCTCATGGACTTGGTGGGGGTATTTAATGAGACAGTGAAGATAATATATTTAGCACAGGACCCATCACGAGGCAGCTGATATCAACCATTACAGTTGCCATTGGTCATATAACTTAAAAGAGCGTTATCCCGATAAGAGATTCATTTGCTAATCTCTTATGAATGAGTGTGACTGGATAATTATCATATACCAATCACTGGAGATTGACAGGGAGAGACAGGCACTGGCAGGGATTTATGGAGAGGAGTGGAGGGTTCATGGAGGTCCTCCTTGTAGAGATGACACCTAGGTTGGGTTTTACAGAATGCATAAGAGTTTTTCACAGAGATGTAAGGGAAGGGCTCTCTAAGCAAGCCTGGTGGCCTGAAAGTCCTACCAGGCTCAGGAAACTATAAATAAATCAAGATAGCTTGAGTGCGAGGTATATATGGAGACACAGAAGACGGACCTGATGAGGCCTGAACAGCAAAACAGAAAGCAGTGGAACCATCCAGTCCTGGCTCATAGAGATCGGACCATTGGTTCTAAGAGTCACCATTTCCTGAGCCCTATTAGACCCCAGGCTCTTCATTGATGCTGCCTCCCTTAATTATATAGTCACTCTAAGAGCCAGCTCCAAGATCACCTTTTGATTGATTTATTTGTGCATATGTGTGTGTAGAATAACCGGGGTACAGGCCAGAAGTTCAGAGAGGGGGATTCACCAGAGACAGAGTGGGGAGTAGAACAGGCAGATCTACTGAAATACACTGCTGAGGGGAGAAGCAGCAGGCGAAGACAGGAGAGGTCTGCTGCGCCATATGGGTTAGCTCCTTGACCGGGGATCAAACACTGGCCATAGGGGTGATAGCACTGAGACTTAACCCCTAGGCCACCAGGGAGGCCCTCGGGTCACATTTTGAATAGATGGAAAGATGGAAGCTCAGAGAGTTAAACATCTACCCACTGTCACACAGCTAAGAAGAGGAAGAATCAGGACAGCTATGATTGACTGACCAAAGCCAGGGTCAGTATGTGTGACATGAATATTACATGTGTGTGATTGTGTACATGTATCAGAGGAGCATGTGTGTGTGAGCATAGGTATGAGCACCTGTGAGTGTGTGGGTTCAAGTTTGCTGGATATATGTGTGTTTGTGTGTGTTTGTTCAAACGTGCATATGCACTAAGGCTAGGTAGTCCATGGTCACCATGAGTGTGTGTGCACATGCGTATACATGTGTGAGTGTTTTGAAGCTGGGTGTAAGCATGAGCACACATGCATGACAGTGAATTCCCTCATGCACATGTGTACATGCCTGTAGTGTGTGTGTGTGTGTGGTGTGAACATGTGCTGTGAGGGCATATACATACATGTGTCCCCAGAGGGGTGTGGGCCTCCCCATTGTACATCGCCTGCCATCCCAGGCAATCTCCCTCACCACCCCTAGAGGCCCTTTTGTCTCAGTGCCCCTCTAGCAAATAGCCCGATGCCATCAAAACTAGGAGGACCAGGATATTTTCAGGTAGTGATTTTCATATAAAAATCCAACAGCCTCATAAATCAGGCTGAAGCTGCGGTCATCACAGCCTCGGGATTAAACACACACAGTGGCTTGTTATAGCATAAATCACCCGCATTTGATTGGGGTCTGGCTGGGCGCGGGCATGTTATGTAAGTGCAGCCTGAGCTAGTCACACTCTCGCTGTGCGTGTCGGACCTGGGGCAGGAGCCCTGCAACAAGATCCCTAAGAGGCAGCTCTTGGGGAGGGTGGATCAACAGTCAACCTCCAGTAAGAGGGAGGCAGAAGAGTCCCCTGTGTCTTACTCCACCCAGTTGCCCCCTGCTGTGCAACTTTGGACAGGTCATTTGAACTCTCTGAGCCTTAGTCTCATTCTGTAAAATGGGGTATTGGCTTCACCTCACTGGAATGTTATGGATTAGATAAGAGAATGCAGCAAGGGCCCAGCTCTGGCAGGGCACAGAGTGAGAACACGGCCCCTGCCCCCTGTTCCTGCAGCCACTGTCCTCACTACTATAGAAACTAGCTCAGATCTGGAGGGGATGCCTCTCCTTGGGGATGGCTCCTACTGGGGCAGCTCACTTTGAATCTATGCTGCATCCCTGGAACCCAAGTTCCCTCAGGAAAAGGGGAGATTTGCTGCTGGAGATTTGCTGTACCCCACACACTCAGCTCTGGGCCAGTATTGCCCAGCATTGCACAGAGGCCTGCAGACAGGACAGCCCAAGGGCCATGTCAGCCACGCCCCTGCCTCTGTGGGCTCCTGACCCATACCCTGGAGGAGATTAGGGTGATGTGTAAGATGGGCCACAATCCCAGGCCCTTCTCTTCAGCAGCTTAAACCTCTGTTTCCCCATCTGTAAAATGGGAATCATAACAACACCCGCCTCCTAGGGCTGCTGTCTGAATTTAGTAAAATATTTCATGAGAAGCTCAGTCTGAGGTCTGCTGCCTGCACAGTGCTCAGAGAATAGATGATGATGTTGATGATGATGATGATGATGATGATGATTTGTCCTTCATGAATGTAATTCCACTTGCTCTTCCTTTGCATTGAGTGCCAGTCTTTCCCACCTTTTTTCCTTCTTCCTTCTGCTTCCCCCTCTCACCTCATCTTATCAGTGGATTGTAGTTCCCATTGGGCAAGAGGCTGGGTCTGCAGGCAAATTCTAAATGAGGTTACTGGGAGGCAGCGACATTCAAACTCTCAGACTTCAATTGCACCCATAGTGAGGACCCACAAATGGCACGGGTAGCCAGGGGACTGAGAGGTTCTTTCTGAACCAAACCAATAACACCTACCACCATAGGAAATGTGGACCCTGGGAAAGCAAAATGGACAAGCTCTAGAGACTGACCCACATTCTGATCAGGCTGAGTCAACCTGTCCTCTCTGTGCCTCAGTTTCCTCATCTATGAAACGGGGCCAATGTTAGTGCTTAGGTCACAGGGCTATTCATGAGTCACCCTGAATGTCTATGCTTATCAGGTAGGGTTGGTCAGTTGATCATTTGACATATACCCCCACCCCTCAAGTCCAAAGGATCCCAAAGGCCAACCTGGATATTTGGAGAGTGCCTCCCAGTGAGCTCAGACACTCAGTATGGAGATGAATGAACAGAGCTGAAGGCAAAACGTGTTTGGCTATGCCCGGTTCCCAGACCACGGTGCCCATGGTGACACGCAAATAAATGTTTTTTAAAATGCTGTAACCCCCACCTCCCCCAACAACCCAATTTCTCTGCCTTGCAGCTTCTCAGCATTTAAAGCTTCACTGCTGTCAAGGTGAGCATATAAAACGAACCTGAGCACATGTAATTCTACGGCCCCTCTCTGGCTGATAATACTGATCATAGAGCACAGACGCTGGAGCAGCCAGGGACTGACCTTGAGGAGGTTTGGGTGTCAAGCATCAAGCCTCCACCTCCTCCCCCACTGGGTCCACAGGAGTTCCAGCTCCCTGCACACCATCTCTCATGGCAGTAGGTCACCTGCTCACACTTCTCCTAACACAAAGCCCCCTGTCTTCCCTTTTCTACCCCTATCTTTACCTGGAACCTCAAAAACATTTTGTAAATGATTCTGCTTCTTCCCCACCAACTCTCCCAATCAGGGCTGCCAAGATGTGATTCCATTTCTCTCTCTTCCTCCTCCTCTTCCTCTCCTCTCATGTCTCTTATCTGTCCATCCTCTCACTCTTCCTCCTTCCTAGATTCTTGACCACAGTTTCCCACCAAACCTCCCCCCAATCCAAGGCCCATCCCATCCCAGATCGCCCTGGGTTCAAATCCTACCTCCTCCTTTCCCTGTGACCAAACTTAGGCAAATTATTTCATCTCTCTGGGCCTTCTTAACTGCAAAGTCAGGATAATAAAATCTCTACCTATTCATATTTTTGAGAAGACTGAGTGAAAAGGTGCACATAAAGCACTTAGCTCTGTGCCTGCACGTAGTAGGCCTGCAATATATGTTCGTGGTTATTATTGTGGTTGCTGGTTCTCCTGCTGTTATTGTTACTATTACTCTTGGGCAAGAAAAAGCTGGAAAGCATGTGACCCAGGAAGATGGAACAGTGTGGTAAAAGCTTCTGGAGTATAATGTAATGTGACTCATATGGTGAAGTTGAGACCCCCCTCAAAACTTGTAAGAATTTTCATAATAGTCTTAGATCCACACAAAGTCCCCAATGCTGTGGGAAAAGCTTGGCTTCCTCTGGGAACCAGGGCAACATCCCTGTAAATCACAGCCAGCGAAATGGAGCCAGCAGAGTCAAAAATTCCTTCCCCATCCT